TGCGGGGTGCTTAGTTGCTGGCTGGGGCTAAACCACGACAGATTGGAATCAAATCTCATCCTACTTTTCTGGTTAAACATGAATTGGCCTCTATATCAGGGCTGCTGAGTATCTTCAGCTTTTTGCTCTCTGTAATCTGTCACTTTCTTCTCCAGCTCTTACGTTTACCGGCGTATATATGTTGTTGAAACTAGCTAGTAGATACAGTGCTGGAATGTACTACTTCACTTAATCGTTTAAAGTATTAGCTGTTTGGAGAAAATGCTAAATTTTATCTGGTTTCACTCCATATTTTCATAGGATGGGTGTCAATAAAATCATATGAACCCACTTGTTCATTAAAGGAGTAGTTTTCCATCTCTTTGGACAAATGACTGCCAAACCACAATGGTTCTTAAGGACAAACTCTTAGCTCAGCAGATTTCTACCTTTTTTTTTCTTGTAGTTTTGGGGTTTTTTTTAAATAGTTTAATACAGTTCCACACACCAAGTGTAAACCATGATTTGGGAGTAACTGCTCTGTTGGATCGGTTTAACTTGAGGATTTAGAATTTTTACATAATTGACTTATGTCACAGTGTGGAAGAAAAATCACTGTCTATACTGATGTGAAACATTATACAATGCAGTGTTTTTCAGCACTACACCTTGGACTCTGTCTCAAAATCCAAAATAAGTTTTTCTTCTGTACAGGTACTATTATTAAGTGGTTTCCTATGCTCAAATGCTGCCTTCCACAAAGAAAAAGGAGCAGAGCTTCCTTAGTTTTTGTTTTTTGTTCTTTTTAAGGTGCTGCTGGTTCAGCCTCATCCTGAGTCACTACACTTTTGAGAGTTTGAACTTGAGCTTTTAAACCTGAGAGGGTTTTGTTTTGTTTTTTTTTTAATGGAAATCCATAAAACAGTTAGGTGAATATAATGTTTTGTGACCAAGAACTGATGGCCTGAAGAGTTTGGGTTGTTTCTTCTCACAGGGAAACAGGAAAGTTGCTTCACAAGCAACTGTGGACGCTCTTTTTGTAATGCATCTGAGAACAGTGCAATATTGGTACCTGACTGATAATATGAGCCTTAACACTTTCATTCTTTCCTACCTGTATTACACTAACGGCTTTTGAAATGCCTGTGATATTTTACCTGCTTTAAAAATACATTATAGCATAGACATTCAGATCTTAAACTGTAATTTACTATTTCTGTATGTTAAATAACTTTCTGTGTTATGCTTCATCCTGTGGCTTCACCTAATTCCTAAAGAAGTGAAGTACAAGAACTTGAAATCTCAACTTGGCAGAGAAGACATTACAGCCATCTTTAAAATGCATTTATTAAGAATTTTCTTAAAGTTCTAAGTTAGTGCTTTAACTAATTTTTTTTTTTTTTTAGTTAAAGAACTTCTAATTTAGGCTTTACAAGAATAGAGTGAACATTATTAAACATTAAGAAGTGCACGCTTTATTGGAATTTTGCATTTGGCATGTTAAATATTTCTTCTTGCATTTGACATATTTTAAATATGCTTCTTTTGAAGACTAATGCAAACCAGGATATCACTGAACTGGAGAATAAAGTGGCAGCTTTGAAATGCCAGTTTGAGAAGACTTTGAATGACTCTACTGCAAACCAGAAATTCTTGGAAGAGAACTTGGTGACAACAAAACATGACTTGCTTAAGGTTCAGGATCAGCTATCCACAGCTGAAAAGGTTAGCATTTTATTGTAACGTAAAGATGAGATTCTTACTCATTAACTGATTAGTAATTTGACAAGCATATGCTACAGGATGCAGAGTTTACTGGGTCACACTTGTGCCAGTGTATTGCTGTTATTTCAGTGGAAAAACACATATTATATGTAAAATAGCGAAACCACAACTAACCGCATGATTATAACTAGATGAAAACTTAAAAATGGCCCATTTGTCTGCACAGAAATTTTTGAATGAAAAGTGTATTCCCAGTCTTCAGAAGACTTTTAGCCTGATTTCATTAGAAAATAAAGCTTGTGTTTCTCTGTGTCTCCCAGTAATATCGTCTGAATCTGCTAGCTGACTTCATCTAAATTTGAATGAGTTAGAGCAACTACTGTTCTGAAACTTGAGGAGGAAAAGCAAGTCATCTTTTTTTAAAAAGCATATTAGCCTGGTTTTCATAATATGTAAATAATATGCTGGTGTTGTTATTATGTAGGAACTAGAGAAGAAATTTCAGCAAACAGCTGCCTATCGCAACATGAAAGAGATTCTCATGAAGAAGAATGAGCAGATAAAGGATCTACGTAAAAAGCTTTCCAAGTAAGTGGTGCTGTTCTGTCTGTCTAAACAGGATCCTTGTTCTGGATCCAGGTTCTGCTCCCATTTTGTTTTTATAAATATGAAGCTGTCTCTAAAACAGACTATAATTTTTTCCTTAAAAAGAATTTCTGGCAGGCTGTTCCCTGATTTTTGACAAGCCAGTCCTTTTAATGGGTGCGAGGTGAATAGGACTGATGTGTGAAACAGCAGCTACTGTGTAACAAGAAATGAGAGAATTTATTATGGAGAGGATACAAAATGTTCATGGGTGTGGTAGAGAAGCCCCCAGGTGCTACACACAGAGATACAGGTGGGAGATGTACTGGATGCTTTGGTGTTATCTTATTTCTTCCACGCTTGTTTATGGGAATGAGAAGTCCACAGTATGTAAACAAGGTTAGGCCTGTATTGAGTAAAGAAACATGCACCCTAGCCATTATATTTCATAGAAGACTATAATTCTGAAAATGTCAAGTGAGCTATGGCAACGCGGATGCCTTAGACCTATGCTGTAGGACAACAGAGGTGGAACATAAAATTTCTGTTTAAACTTCTGCCTGTATTTTGGGATTTGTGGGTAGGTTCCTGGTCATTCCCTCGTTCTACTGTTTGGTAAAGTGGCCAATTTTAAACAGAGAAAATAGTCTAAAAAGTATATACATTTGTCTGTGCCCTAAGTCATACAGTGAGTCTTGACAGGAATGCGTCACTAGTGGGAGTAATTTATTACTTGGCATTTTCTTTAGAGAGAAAATGTCTCTTGGGTATTTTCTACTCTGGTTTTAATGATTTTTTTTATTTTTTTTATTTTTTTTTTTTAAATCCTCAGATATGAGCCAGAGGACTAAAACACCAAGAACATCTGCTCTGTCAGAAACTGCCATAGAAAGAAAATGTAGACTGGTATTATTTTTCAATAACTTCTGTTTTGAATGGTATATTTTTTGCTTCTAGTGCTTAAAATAACTTTTTATTAGTACTGATAAGATGCTGAAACTCTTATCTTCCTTATAAACCTACAATTTGTAGGTATGTTTCTGTAGTCATGTTTTTAATTGTTAACCATCAACATTCCTTGAGAAACAGCAAACAGGAGCTTACTGAAGAACTGAGGCCATTCTCTACAAAGAAAGGAGTTTATTTTTGTTAAGAAAAGGCAAAAAAAAAAAAGAAAAAATAAGCATTAGAGTTTTTTGATGTTTCTGAGGTGGAAACTCCAGCTGTTACTTTTGTATAGTTAATGTAGCCGTGAAGTGGCATCATATGTGAAAATTGCATCAGTGGCAGTAAAAAGTAGGAGGGAAAAAAAGAACACACTGATTCTGTAATGTTATTTCACACTGGACATCTCATACCTCGGCAAAATGTGGTCAGTAACATTTTGTGAGGGGGTGTTCATTAGATAATGAGGTAAATATGCTTTATAGCAGAACCACTGAACCCTTTCAAATAAAGCTACTAATTGGAGTTATACTTTTTCACTGGAATTTATTTGAAACAAATTCGAACATCAGAATACAGATTCTGATTTTGCCAGTATTCTTAATGTTAAGATGATAATCTGAAAAAACATAGGGAAGTTGCTAATGGAGCAATTTTCTTGGGAAATAAGTTATTTTAGATGTGTTCCTCTCCTTTCTTATTGTAACCTCACCAGAAAACAGCTTACTTCTCTCAAGTCTTTTGCTTGTAATCCTCTGCCTTGCATTTATCTGGAAGCCTTTTAATAGTGCATTCTACTTGTTCACCTGTCCCTGTTCATATGTATGTTGTATTTTACTCCAAATAAACCCATTATGTTTTCAAACACTTAACCTTTAAGGATCTGGGTTTTTTATAGGAATGTTTTGTTTAGCTCTCTTTTAAATATCTCTAGAAAGGAGTGGCAGATCAGTAAAGAATCTTACTAGAAATGCGAACATGTAAATTACAGATTCATGCCCAAAGCCGCACCACATCAAACAGCTGTAAAACAGTGTACCAGTGGCAGGGCTGGGAAAAGGCTGGTGTGTGTGTATGTTACAGGAACTGGCATTTAACAGTGTTTGTCTCAGGAGCTGCTTGAACTGAAATGGATCATTTTTCCTCATTCTTTCTCAAACGGGCAAAGCTGTTAAAATTGCTCAAGCGGTGATGCCCCAGTCAAATCTGCCATACATTTGCAGTCTGTAAGTTCTTTCGTTGTCCTTTTTTCCTCCACTGGTTAAGCAAGATTGGTTGGGATAAAGTCCTGTGTCTGTAGTGTGATATCATTGCTGTAGCACAGTAGTAAGGCTTTATGGGGTGACATACTCCTCATGCAGTGTCAGTTAAATTCATGAAAGGTATTATTTTGCCCCTTGTACAGTCACTGAAATGTTAAGTTAATAGGGATATACCAAAGAGCTTTCTGGCCTGTGTTTGCTGAGAGCAATTACGTTGACATCAACAGGAGTACTTGTCTGGGTGAATATTGTGGTTTTCTTTCTAATGAAACTCATTTTAATGAGATCAGTTACTATTTCTAAAATGGCAGGTAAAGGGTGAAGAAAGGCAGAGAAGAATCTCATGACTTCTGCTGTTTTTCTCTTTTCTGATAAATCTTTTGGCTTTTGACTTAGCTGGTATATTGTCTCTGTGATAGGCCTTCGTTAGCTGCTTAGAGACCATTTCAACAAGAAAGTACACTCTCAGCTTCAGAATATGGATAGGTCTCAATGAAATAAATTGGTTGTAGGCAAGTGTGGTTACAGACCTTGTTATCTCCTCAAATGAGTAAGGCAGATCTTGTAGAGAACTGTGCAGTGCAAAATGGAACACTGACTTTGATTACCTGCCTTGCAGATTGCCAGTGTAGTGTGTATGAGATCAGTGTGATGCTGTCATTGGCTTGTGTTGCACAATGGCTAAGGTAAAGGTCTTGTGTGGAGCCCTTGAGGAAAAATACATCATCTGTCAAAGATGATGTACCTGTCAAAGAAGACCTGGAGCATTATACAGTAGCAATTCTCTTTTTGTTGAGATAGGTACAATATTTTGAAGATGGAGATGACATCTGAACCTCTCCTGATTGAGTCTGATGTTTCTAAAACTTCACTTCTTTCCCTGAAGAGTAAATTCTAATACTGCCTTTACCAGCCTTTGTTTTTCCGAAGTTCATTATACTGCTCAAATAGACATCATCCATTTTTTCCACTTCAGCTGTTAATTCCTTAGTTATGCCTGAAAGGAATGTTTAAAAAGAAAGTTTCTCTATAACTGACTGACCTCCAGGAATCAAATCTCTTTCAAGCTGGGTGGGGTTTTTTTGCTTGCAAACTGAAGCATATTTTCTATGGGAATGAAATCTAGGCAGCTCAGCTTCACTAGTATTGACTCTGACAGCTAACAAACAACCCCATGCTGTAACTGTGACTTGAATTCAGCAGTTGGTCATTAATAAATGAGCCAGCAGCGCTGCATGCTACCTTCTTGGTGAGACAGTATATTACCTGGTGTTCTGTAACTGTTCATAAAATGCTCCTTAATCTGTTTTTCTCTTGTGCATAATAGCCTTTTTTTTATGTCCTAAGATGAACACTAATATATAACACTTAAACTGCAAGTGCTGCTCTTTCTTTGATAGACCAGGTGCAATTTGGACATTTCCCACATAGCTTGCTTTTGGGAAACTCACGGTCATCTGCCAGGCACCTGGATTTCAATCCAGCTAAAAAGTTCTTAAGATTCCCCAGTTTGATTTCCCTCTTCTAGCATTATCAAGGACTGCTCTTGGCTTCTGCATGATACCAAATGCTGTCAGACCACAGTCAAATGATTCTTACAGCCTCAGGAAACAAACATGAATCATCTTGGGGTGTCACATGGCTGAATGGATCAAGCTTAAAAAGTTTGAGCCATTCTAGGAGGTCAGGCCTTTTAAAACACATTAAAAAACAATTTAATGTAATTTGAAGGTAAGTTTGTATGTAAGCAGGTAAGAATTGTTATCGTAATTATTATTGTAAATGTTTCTAACTGGCTTTGAGCAGAGAATGTGCCCACGGGAGTTGCCCTATGACTTAATTTTGACAATGTCCCAGTGAAAGCACTGTTCAGGATTCCTGCCCTGCTCTGGCTGCCGACAGAACTCTTCCTGAAGGCACCTAGATCTGCCCTCCTTATCAGTCTCCTATCAGGCATACCCTCAAACATTAGGCAGCCTATTTGGAGTCAACTCTTCTCCAAATAAAGGTGGGTAGATACATGTCATTCTGTTTCAGCAGTCTTAATATCTAGAGACTTTGGGGGGTTTATTATTTTTTAATTACTATTTTTAGGAACCTGTTAATGTAGTGTCTTGGAGTGTCCGTTTTAAGTAATGATGATGCTGAGTGGTTGGTGCAGGACTCTGACAGGGCGGCTCACGACTGACAGCTGCTGGTGAGCAAGAGAGCTGCATGGAGACCTCCCCAAACTGCAGGCAGGCTTTGACAGGGAGAAGGCATGAACTGGCAGAAGACAAGCAGAAGAACTGTTTGAATAGCCCAGGTATCCTTTTGATTTTAGTGAGGTGCCAGTTTGTGGCTCTTTTGTTTTACACAGGCCAGTTCTGAGGTCTGGGTGATTTGGGTGCAATTCTGTGAATCAGAACTGTGTTGAGTGCACCTTTATGGAGGGAGCACCCTAAAAAACCCCACAGTTAGAAGATGGATAGAGCTGTGGTGCTAAAGAAAAGCAAGGAAAATAGAGGGACCTTTCTGAGGCATGCTTTTCTTGGGAGACTGAGGTAACGCAGAACAGTTTTAAGGGTGATTAAGGCGCTATATATGACTTCAGGATACAGACCTCAAGGACATCATTTACAGTTTGGAACTAAGCAGCAAGTAGCAGGGATCAGCTGGAAGGAATAACTGCAATCCTAATAACTGCTTAGAGGAGTAACTGTAGTCTCCAATTACATGTAGAGCAATCACCCAACAGTTGTCATGGCCTATGAGTTGTCAAAGATCTGGAAATCCAGCTGGATTCTTTCTTTCTCCTAAA